TATACACTCGGCAAGTCGAAAACCTAAAAAGGAGGCTTGGGCAAAAAAGGGTATCCCAGTGGACTGAAAATCTAAAAGGACAGTCCAGACAAAAGTTAGGGATTAAAGCGTACAATTATGTATCGTCATATCGTCACTTGTCTATCAGTAGAAGACTTATCGCCCTGATCAACATTCACTAAGGGCTCTAGAAGTAGAGGTATGTTCAAGTTTCCACGGATTCCCACATAGCCACTTCCATGAGATTATCCCCACAGAGTGATCTTCACAAGTTTATACATTCCCCGACATTGCCACGGTAGATCACTCTGGCTGATAAAGGAGTATGATTTTCTCCCCAGAAATATCACCAACCTACGAAGTTCCAACCAGTACAGTTCATGGAGTTTCTCTTCCCCAACTGAGCTTGTTCCTCCAAGGTTGTAAAACCCTTTTCAAACTTCTGTTCTCTAGCAGAGTTCATTTCCTTAACAAGGGTGTTTCCTCAGCAAGAGTATTTCTCCATCAACAAGGTTTATTTCCCCAAACAGATTCTCTTCTAGATATAGTTCAAATACAGTCTAGACATAGATTCATTCTGACACTCATTCTAGATCCACTTCTAGATACAGTTCATATACAGTCTAAATATAGATTCATTCTGACACTCATTCCATATCCACTTCTAGATACAATTCAGTTACAGTCTAAATATAGATTCATTCTGACACTCATTCCAGATCCATTTCTAGATATAGTTCAGATAAAATCTAAATATAGATTAATTATGATACTCATTCTAGATACAATTCAGATACGATCTAGATATGGATGTCATTCTGATACTCATTTAGTATACCTTCTAGATATAGTTCAGATACGATCCAAATATGGATGTCATTCTGATACTCATTCAGTGCATGTTCCAGATACGGTTCAGATACAGTCCAAATATGGATATCATTCTGATACCCATTTAATACATCCTCAGATACAATCAAGGCGTAGATTTATTCTGACACTCCCCAGCTTGAGTGTGCTTCTACCATAAATCACCGGCTAAATTCCTCTCCCTAGTGAAGTCGTCACTACCCCTAGGGAGTTGCTACAGAACCTAAAATCAGACCAGATGTCAGTGAACTTTATCCTCCCCAGACGAGTCGGAAGGAATATTCATCTCTTTTATCCCCAATCAGGGTATAAACTCCCCAGTAGAGCAATGAGCAACCAACGTTCTTAAACTCTTCTCTCCAAGCAGAAATTAACACTCTCCAACAGAGTTTCCTCAAGACAAAAACAAGAAATCAATGTTCTCTAGAGGAGTTTCCTCAAACAAGAAAGCAGGAGTCCCCAGCAGAAATAATCCCCAGAAGATCGAAGATACACATACTCTTCATCCCCAGCAACAATCAGGGATTTATTTTCCCCAGACTAATATGTTGCTCAAATTTGCAAATGCACTTCAATAACATTTCACATTCACCATCATTTACCGATACCATAGCATATGCATACGAAACGCATATAGCATAGTCTCATTTATTTTGAGAACGTTATTACGCAATTAATTTCATATATCATGACATTGCATACAGCCAACCCTTTATCTTTTCAGGTAATGTCTATAAACAGACGAATATCATCAACTATCTATATGACCAGACAAATTTCTTCATAAACTAAATTCTGACAAGTATTTCCCTCAAAGACTTTCCCCAGAAAGTCATTCTGAAAAACATATCTTCTAGATGAATTCAGGCGTAGACATCTTCTAGTTCATCATATAGACGAAATCAAGTGTGGATTCCTTTTGGTACCCTTTGAAGTAGTAGTCGCCATAGATTCATTATGGTACCCTTTGAAGTAGTAGTCGCCATAGATTCCTCCTGGTACCCTTTAAATTAGTAGTCGCCATAGATTCCTTCTAGTACCTTGTTGAAGTAGTAGTCGCCATAGATTCCTTCTGGTACCCTTTGAAGTAGTAGTCGCCATAGATTCCTTCTGGTACCCTTTGAAGTAGTAGTCACCATAGATTCCTTTTGGTACCCTTTGAAGTAGTAGTCACCATAGATTCCTTCTGGTACCCTTTAAAGTAATAGTCGCCATAGATTCCTTCCAGTACTTTGTATAGTAGTAGTCGCCGTAGATTCCTTCTGGTACCCTTTGAAGTAGTAGTCACCGTAGATTCCTTCTGGTACCCTTTGAAGTAGTAGTCGCCATAGTGAAGTAGTAGTCGCCATAGATTCCTTCCAGTACCTTGTGAAGTAGTAGTTGCCATAGATTCCTTTTGGTACCCTTTGAAGTAGTAGTCTCCATAGATTCCTTCTGGTACGTTTTAAAGTAGTAGTCATCATAGATTCCTTCTAGTAACTTGTGAAGTAATAGTCTCCATAGATTCCTTATGATACCTATTAAAGTAGTAGTCAGGCGTAGACTCCTTCCATTACCTATTGAAGTAGTAGTTGGGCGTAGACCCCTTCCGGATACATCTCCTAAAGACCAAGTCAAGCATAGACTTATTCTTATATTTCTACCAATAGTTACTTTGGATGACATCAATAAGCCCATCTCCGACGACTCTCCATCACCTTTGGATGACATCTATAAGTCCATCTCCGATAATTCTCTACCACCTCTCTGAATGGCATCTCTAAGCCCATTCTCGGTACAATCAACCAACAACGTTACTTCTTGCGCAGGCGAGTGCAAATTTCTGGGCACTTAAGTGTTCTATCATCTTCTACCCTCAAGTCATGAATGGTGAACTAGCCTATCTAAATCTTCAGGTTTAAGAAGATTGAACATGGGCAGATTTTGTACCTCAAAATTTTCCCTTCCATTTTCTTCAAGACATTCTTTCAAGGCTTCTCAAAACACTCAAGGGTTGACTAGTCAAGATGCTCCTTCTAAGCCAAAAGCTTACAAATAGGGTTTGGAGTTTCTCAAGGAAATTTGGTTTGAAAAGGTATCAAGTGGCTTCCATGGTTCTTAATAGGTCCTTAACAAGGTTCATTTCAAGTTTCAATCCCTACATCATAAGTTTGCACAGTCAATGACTCAAATGATTGAAAATCAACTACATTTGTCAAAAAGTCAAATGTGGTCAACATACAGTCAAACTTCAATATTTTTGGTCAACATCAACATTTTGAAGTGATATTCATCATTTTACCAAGGTTTGATCATGATTCCTCAAGAAAAGTCCTCAGATCATCAAAAGTAAAAAATTGCTAAATTAGGGTTTCCTTATGAGAAGTCAACTGAACTTTGACCAGGCATAACTTTCACATGCTTCATCAACTTATCCCCAAACAAATCCCATTTTGAAGTAAATTCAATTCTCTACAACTTTTCTTTTATTATCAAATCCAAAAAATACTTCATTTGGAAGGTATGATCTCATACATTATATGTCATTTTCGAAAGTCAACAAAAGACACTTTTTGTCAAGGAAACTTACATCAAGATAATGTCTTCAAAAGCAAAAATGATCAACACAGAGATTGTAGAGGACATCTTGGGCTTTCAAAAAAGTCAAATATCATCTTCAAAATATGAAAATTAAGCAAGTTATTAGTTGCACAAATTGGGGAATTTTGAAGAAATTCATAAAGTACAAATTGAACAAAATTGCATTTTTGAACCTATGAGCCTAGTTTTTGATGTTCAAACATGTCCATAACATCTTAGAGGACCTCTTAAGTACATTTTTGCATGACCTTGATTTTTATTATTTATATTTATATTTATCTTGATTTTGTTTAATTTAAAATAAAATAAATTAAATATAAATACAATAAAACGCGGGATAATGCATTTGGGCTTAACTTGACCCATCATGGAGCCCCATATTTCGTGCAAAGACCAACAAAAATTGTCTAGGTTCATGCAAAAACGGAATTGGCAAGAATCATTCAAATATGACAAACTTTCAATATGTTGGATACTTTGTCTCATGGCCTTGAAAGTTTGATTCCTTGCCATATTGGTCTGCTCTCCTCACTCCTCTATAAATACACAATAAAATGCAAGCAAAGGCATATGCATACACTTCCTAGAGAAGCTCTACCAAATTTCATCAAAAAATATCTCAAAGTTGCAAACTTCGAAAGTAGATCTTCCAGCCTTCCTCCATCAAAACCAGCCACGCAGTTGTGTTCTTGAGCATCCTAGGACCCCTCCAGAGCCTAGATTCAAGCCTCACACGTCCCAGAATCACTTCATACGAACTCATTGGTTTGGCAAAATCTCTTGCTCTTAAAATCTTTAAATCCTGTAACTTAATCCATGTTACGCATGTATTCATGTTACTGGTGATATTTGGATGAGAACTAACGAGTTACATGCAAGTTTGGATGCGGGGATGAGATCATGCCATGGCTAGGGCACAATATGAATTCGTGTGTGAATCGTATGATACAGGAAATGGTTGCTTGTTTTAAGCCCAGATTCGAACTCAGGGCGTATTTTTACATAGGATAGGCCTTTTGTTAGTCATGAATCTAACGTTTTTTTACATGTTTTGGATTTTGTCCGATCGGAGAAGACGACCGGAGTTTGAATTCGGCGTCTCTGACTTCAGTTGACCCTGGTAGGAGCTTGTGTGTCAAAACCCAACTATTTTATTCGTCCGTTTAAACAACAGGGGATCTACCGGGCGTGCGCTTTGTTATTTAAATGATTTTGAAACGAGTTTTGTAATACAATGATTTGTTCTATTTATACTGACGGATGAACACGCCACCCCAGTGGCAACACATGTGCACTTAAAGCTTATCCCAGGCAGGGAGTACGTTTTGTTATTTTTTCTAGTTTGTTTTATTTAATTCATTTTCTTTTTTAACTAATTTCATAAATCTCATTAAAAAAATCATAAAAAAATACACCGCACCGGTCACACTCTCTTTTGGCAGCTCACACATAAAGAAAGCAGCAACAATGGAACAATATTCTCCGCCGAATATATCTCGCCGCTGCGAAGACGCAACAGTCACCATTACCATCGAAGAATCTTTGTCATCATGCTGGCTCAGATCGCGATGACCACCAGCGGAAGATCTCTGTCGCCGTCCACGCCCCTCTATGCAGCAGCGGAGCCACTATCATCACGCATCGAGACAACTCCAAAGCAACCGAGAAACACCGACGCAGCTACGCGTTTCGAACATGAGCCGCCGCACAAGCCCGCGCAAGAAGCCGGCGCCAACACGCCATTCTCTCCGACCGGCACCACACGGCAGCCTGCAACCCCCACTGTTCGCAACTTTTCCCTCACGTCCGCCACTAAGTTCCATTTTTTTAATCTCCGACATGGTAAGTCTTCTCTTGATTTCATTCCATCCATGTGATTATTTAATTTTGTTGTTTTGATCTCAAGAAAGAAAGTGTTTCATTGTGAGTTGAATGAGAGGAGAAATTATGGTTTCAAAGAAGAAGAAAGATGAAGTTGGTTGTTCTCACGAAACCAAATACTGTGTCATTGTGCCACGTGTCAATTTCTCATAGTTTAGGCTAAAATGTTGGAAAAGTCAAAATTGAATCAATCTACTTCCCTCATGCACGTTCTTCTTTTCATTTTAGTGATTAGTTTTTGTTTCATTAATGCTTTAGCCTATTTACCTATCTTAATCTCCTTTTTTTTAATTTAATTTTATAAGGAAAAAACACAAAAAATGTATATATTAAAATAAAAAATATTTCTTGGAAGCTTAGGTTTTAGAACAATGTAGTTTATTAGGTTATTTAATTTAGAATTGTTTAGTTCATTACTTTAGTCCTATAAAAAACTCAAAAAATACAAAAAATTGTTAATCTTATTTTAATTAGTCTTAATTAATTAGTTTTGCTTGTTAAAAATACAAAAAATTCTTTAAGTTATTATTTAACTTTATTTAGAATAATTATATTATTAGTTTTTTTTAGGTTATTCCATTTAATTAACACAAGCAAAAAAAAAACAATAAAATATAAGGAACAAAAATATGTCTTTAGTTAATTATAATTATTAATTTTATACAAAATCACTAATTTGTAAATAATCATTTTCTATTCGAATGTACATCACGAGGAGATAAATGAATTATTGAATATATTTTTATTCAAATCTATGTTTCAATGTTTAATATCATCTACATCTTTATCTTGAAAATAAATGAATTATTGAACATGTTTTTATTGAATTATTCTCTTGAATTTATTTTAAAGTATATTAATAAATTTTTCAAAAATTTACTCTTTATTATATTATATCTTTCTCTGCAATATATAATAAATATTTACATATACATTAATTATTTTTCTTTTCTAAAGATAAATTTAAATAATTTTAAACAAAATATTTAATAAATTTAATACTTGAATCGACTTTCTTAAGTCTATAATTTTCTCAACAAGATCTTATATTTAAGGATGGAGGTTGTATAATACAGTATTGAAAATCTTAGTTGTTCCGGAAGTTTCTTTTATCAACTGATGTTTGATATCATTTAAGTTAATTGTGTTATGCTCGACAATTTTATTTATTGCAATATCAAGTTGGAACATTGAAATTCTGCATGTTGATCTGAATCGTTATTTTAATTTTTGTTTTATTTTAATTTTTTTCTCAAATATTTACATTGACTTGTATGCTTTTAATAAATTTCAGATTATTAATAAATATACAATTCATGATTTGGAATGAAAAAAATTGGATAAGACTTATGAGTGCTTGAATGATGTTAGTCACTCCCATTGTATCACTTCTATTTTACTATATAGGGTTTCATGAATTATAAATCTGATGTGTTTTGTTTGGAAGTTTAATTAGGTTAAGTTCTTACACATATCTGACCAGTATGGATTGTCAAGGCCTGCGAGCTGTGAGTTGAGCAGCAGTTGAAGATAAGATGGGGGTACCTGCAAGATACTCCGATGTCAAAATGAGATTCAGAATGATGCAAGCAAGTATGAGAGTCTCTGAGTATCAAAGAATGAATATCTGACCCTCTCATGTGAGAGGGTATTTATAGCCCCCAGCGCTGGGCCAAGACCCCCAATGTTGGGCTACGATGAGGCCCAACAGTGGAGACTGTCAAGGCTTACTTTGTATGGAGTCCATCACGTGGACTCCCCCCTATTCAACTGCCACAGGAGAATAGGTGTTGGACTCGTGATTTCTGGAAAGAAGTTATGATGATAATGATACGGACATGTGGGCCATGTTCCCCAATGGACGCGTGGGGTGTAACACCCTAATCTACCCCTCAGTTATATTAAAATCAGAGTGCCAAAATTTCCGCAAACATGAGGCATTACATTCTCATTTCAAAAACCAACAACATAAAAACCTATCATAATAGATACATAGCACATATTAATCCAAAGAACTTATAGCAATTAATTAGTCTTCCAAAATATTTCAACTTGATTCCATAAATACGCAACGAATTCACAACTTTAAAACTTCAAAAGAACATAGCATCTTTTAAACAACTTAATTCAAAGAAAACAACTTCTTAAAACAACACTTGGATTAAACTAAAAACAGCATAAAATCAAATAAGCGTTCATCCCCCCGAGTGCTACGTATTAGAGCGACGACACCAACAAGCTACTAAGTCTCTACTACTCATTTCCTGCAAGTTACCAGTATAAAGGCAACATCGAAACAAATAAAGGGGTGATATATCGAATAATATAAATAAGAATATGATAATTAATATATTAGACAAGAACATTATGAATTTAACCGCTTCTCAACAACACACAACAATCAATAAACATTCACAACTATCATTAGCGATTAAAAATGTAATTCGAATGCGACACAACTGTGCATATGCATGTGGTACCAACAGAGCTTCAACCCTCTTCACTAATTGCCAATTAATAGAGGCGCAAGATATAAGCCTACTTCACAAAATCCGCCAATACAGGCCTTCACAAATGCAATGTATGAATGTACAACACATACAACAATATCATTAAATACTTCATGAGGCATACGCCTATATCACTAATATTACCAATTAATATAGGTAAATCTTCGTTATAAACATTTCTGCAACTTCACAAAAATATTTGCAACATCATAACATCAACGTACATCACAAAGGAAAACACAAACATGATAGTCGTGTCCAAAACACTCTCATAAGTCTCTATGTATTAATTCTTCATTATTTAATTATTCTCTTAATATTCACTTCTAAATAACTAACTGGCAATATATCTTTTCTTCTTCTATTTAATCAATCCTCTAAAATAATTACTACAACTTTACTAATTATTTCCAACTCTGTCTTATTTCTACAGAACGTTAAAATTATATTGAAACTACTAAGTTAAGGTTACTGACATATAGACTACTTCTATTAAAGTTACTTCTGCTATAGCATACTACTGATAAGAATAGTTTAATTCATTTCTGTTTATAAATTTTATGCTAAAATATGTAGGCTACTGATAATATATAGCTAAGTGGTAGGAAAATAAGTGTCTGCCTAACAACCAGTGCCGAAGGGCACTCCCTTTCCACAAACACACGGTGCCGAACGTCACACTTCTTCCCTCTCAAGGCTGTCGACCGACAATCTTTACCCACACACCTTGCCGATCGTCACTCTCCATCCTCACCTTGCCGGTCGTCACTCTCCATACAAGGGACTCCCTGCTGGTCGGCAGGCTCTCCCAGGGGTTCGTCTTTAATATATTTCCAAACGCAGACTTGGTTTTCTACCCAGATTTATCATACACAACAACATAAAATAATTTTTTTGCAACTATTGTTTTCCTATTAATTTAATTAATTCTCATATTCCCAATCAACAACAATTGCAACAGCATCAGCACACAATTATTTATTTTCCAGAACTCAGCACAACAACAATTGCCAGCAACAACATGATTTATTCCACACGAAAATTCAACACAAAATTCAACACATATAACAAATGATTACACAACCCCAATCCTACATACTAACCATCGTATTCCCAGTTATAAAATCCGAACCCCACTGTACCTTTTTGTTTTTTCGATCGGTCGAATTCTCCGGTTGAAACTGCAACTGGTTTGACGACAACTTCTCTAAATTTTCTTGCCTCCCACTTGGTGCCTCCAAAACCTTGTTTCTTCTACTGCTACATGATAATTGTTTTTCTTTTAGTTTTTGGCTGCTAGCTTATATATATCATAATCTAATATAATAATAATAATAGGTCTACTAGTAACTTTAATGGGCCTATTAATTTTATTCCTAATCTTGCTATTTCACACACCCCACTTGACCCAACTAATAAAATAACATTCTATTAAAATCAACATTATTTTCAATATTAATTTCTCTTGACTAAATTGACTAATTATTCGATTATCAATTCTAACAATATGTATTTAATCCAATAATGCTCCTTATAATTATTCCGATAATTCCTTCTTCGACTAAATTCCAACAATTAAATCCTCAGTAATTCATTTAAATAATTTAATGAATTTTCGGGTGTTACAACTCTCCCCCACTTAGAATATTTTCGTCCTCGAAAATTCATTTGACACCACTTTCCTTAACTTCGCCTCCAGCTCTAGTCTTCCGATATAATCACAACTTACTATAATTAAAATCTAACGCACACGTGCAATTTTATTTCAACTCATCCAACAACAATAATAATAACTAACGGAGTTCTATCGACGAAACACGTACCTCTGGTACCTCTCTCCTCGTTTCCCGTTGGAGTTTCCACCAACGCGAACACCCCTGCACCAGGCGCTTTATTCGGTTTATGAAACTGAGTACTAATATAGCCTTCTTCACCATAATTGAAACATACACCCGCCTTATGCTTATACTCAGGAGCCGCATGTCTAGCCTTACCACAACGAAAACACCTCCTTACCTCAACAGTAGTGCACATATTACTCTTGTGACCAGGTTTCCCACACTTGAAACAAGTCACACTAGCAGGAGCGTCTCCCCCACTTGTTCTTTGACCCTCAACAACTTCTTGTTTACCTCTACCAGCTGGAGCATCGTACGACTTACCACGACTCTGATTCTTGCTCTGCTTCTCTTTAACTATCTTGTAATGAGCATTGTTATCCTCCTCATAAATTCTGCAGCTATCCACCAAATCATAGAAAGCACGAATCTTCTGATATCCAATTGCCTTCCTGATCTCTGAGCGCAACCCGTTCTCAAACTTGATGCACTTCGAAAATTCAACAGTTTATGCGCTATAATGCGGATAGAACTTATCCAACTCCACAAACTTTGCAGCATACTCGGTAACAGACTTGTTCCCTTGCTTCAGCTCGAGGAATTCAATTTCCTTCTTACCTCATACATCTTTAGGATAATACTTCCGTAGAAATTCTCCACGAAACACAGCTGAAGTGATCTCTTCACCTGCAACTTCCAACCTCGGACGAGTCTCTAGCCACCAGTCATCAGCTTCGACTGCCAGCATATGAGTACCATACCGAACCTTCTGCTGTTGAGTGCAGTCCATCACACGGAAGATTCTTTCCATCTCCTTCAACCAACTCAAAGCCCCATCAAGATCATACTTACCCTTGAAGGTAGGCGAATTCTCCCTCTGGAAAGTCGCCAAGTTACGGGATCCCGTATCCCCGCCAGCATTCAGCTGATTCTCCATAGCATGAGCCATTGCTTCCAAAGCAGCAGCTATCACAACATCGTTCCTTCCATCCATCTCAACTTATAACTACAACACAAACAATGGTTAACAATAATTAACAATACTCGATTGTTAAATACTCAACAACTTTGGCCGGACGGACCGACCTGCTCTGAGACCACTAATGTAACACCCCAATCTACCCCTCAATTATATTAAAATCAGAGTGCCAAAATTTCTGCAAACATGAGGCATTATATTCTCATTTCAAAACCAACAACATAAAAACTTATAATAATAGATACATAGCACATATTAATCCAAAGAACTTATAACAATTAATTAGTCTTCCAAAATGTTTCAACTTGATTCCATAAATACGCAGCAGATTCACAACTTTAAAACTTCAAAAAAACATAGCATCTTTTAAACAACTTAATTCAAAGAAAACAACTTCTTAAAACAACAACTTGGGTTAAACTGAAAATATCATAAAATCAAATATGCGTTCATCCCACCGAGTGCTACGTATCAGAGCGACGACACCAACAAGCTACTAAGTCTCTACTACACGTTACATGCACGTTACCAGTCTAAAGGCAACGACGAAACAAATAAAGGGGTGAGATATTGAATAATATAAATAAGAATATGATAATTAATATATTAGACAAGAACATTATGAATTTCACTGCTTCTCAACAACACACAACAATCAATAAACATTCATAATTATCATTAGCGATTAAAAATGTAATTCGAATGCGACACAACTGTGCATATGCATATGGTACCAACAGGGCTTCAGCCCTCTTCACTAATTGCCAATTAATAGAGGCGCAACGCATTATCCTACTTCATAAAATCCGCCAATACAGGCCTTCACAATTTCCGCCAATATAGGCCTTCACAAATGCAATGTATAAATGTACAACACATACAACAATATCATTAAACACTTCATGAGGCATACGCCTATATCACTAATTACCAATTAATAGAGGCAAATCTTTGTCATAACTATTCCTGCAACTTCACAAAAATATTCGCAACATCATAACATCAATGTACATCACAAAGGAAAACACAAACATGATAGTCGTGTCCAAAACACTTCCATAAGTCTCTATGTATTAATTCTTCATTATTTAATTATTCTCTTAATATTCACTTCTAAATAACTAACTGGAAATATATCTTTTCTTCTGCTATTTAATCAATCCTCTAAAATAATTACTACAACTT